GGAACCACCTAGGTAAATAGCAGGTTGCTCCCCAATCTAAAAACTGAGGGTGCTGGTTAGACCTAAAAATGCACAGTGCACCCTGGGGGAGTGAAAGGGGAGGAATAGTCTTACAAAAAACGGCAGAAGATATTGTTAATAGTGTATCAGGGTTGAAAACCCACATTACTCGCACCGTTCTGCTTAGATTGATTTTATTCTGTCCCAGTTTGTCTACTTGCACTAGATCTGAGGGCACAGACAGCTATCCCAAAAATAACAGCATATAGTACAGTAATCATCTTATTTCCTATTAACTTAATCTGGAGCCCTGTATAATTTGTACTGTTTTATCATGACTGATCTTAGTTAAATCTGGTTTGTTTGATTGCTGTTTGGTATCGACAGATTTTATTCACAACTGTTATGACTGATAGTATCAAGTCTGAGAATATAGGCAGCTACACTGAAGATGACAAGATTCACTATGATACCCATTATGGTTTGATTATTGCCTGTTTTTGAAGTTTTACATTATCTACAAAGTTTTGTTTTTATTAATATTGTTATGTACTGCTATATTCAATTATACTATGCTGATGATGTAGACGATTTTATTGATGATAACAAGAGACAACACAGTAACCACTGTAGAACTCCTTGTTCAGTGGTTTTATATGTCTTTTTCATTTCATGTGTTTATAGGGCTATGTTTTGTTATGTCTTGCTTTGTTTTGTTTCTCCCTGTAATATAGAAAGGATAGAAATACATGTTAAGACTCATGCATGCCTAGAACCTATAAACAGTTTATAAGAACTGATCTTACAACACATGATAAAATGAACAAATACTTCGAAGAAAAAGAGACATTGCAGTGCCCAGTGCTGATCTCTTAATGTCAGAATGTGAAATTCAGCAATACTATTATTCTTTGTTCAGAGTGATTTTAGCCTGCTATGGTTTGTTTAATCTCAACATAAATGAAGATATGGATAACTGCATGTATATTTAAGGGTATAGGATTGATAACTGTATTACAAAGTTTTTGTTGGATAGTTGAACAGAACTGTTTGCAGTCTTGCTGTTTAAATCCCCATTTTGTATGTTTCACTTTTGTATCTTGAACAACTGTTTGTAAGAGGACAATATGTAATCATCAACTAGTGATTTCTTACTGCTTATTTTTTCTCTGAAAGTATGTATTATTTCTACCTGTTTTCTGTTTTGTTTAGTCTTTCTTTAAATAAAATTTAAAAAAAGAGAAATCAACAATAATTAATATATTACATATTGTTATCTTAGAAGTAGTTGTTCAGGTTACAAGATCTAGGCATAAAAAATGATCAAACAATCAAACAAGGACAGCACAAACTGTCCTTTTTGATGAACTGAGAATTAGTAGTATAGTTATCTATCTTGCACACATACACATAAGTACATTTATAATACATAATCTTTTCCTTTGTTTTGTTTTGTCTTTCTCTTATCCCAGTTGTTCTTTCCTTCTAAACATTTAAAAAATTTTTTTAAAATTTTATTTTGTTTTTAAGAGAGCAAGAGGCAGTATGGTAACCATTGTTGATCACCTTGTATTTTGTTTTTACATTATGTACTATGTCTATCCTTTTGATTTGACTGACTCTGTTCTGTTATGGCACATTTGATTTTACTCTCTTCAAAAAAAAGTAATAAGAACTGTGGGAGTAATAAAACCCAAAATGTGTAATTGTCATTGTACAAAATATAGGAAAAGAAAGTGCTCTAAAGGATATAACTGCATGTATATTTAAGCGTATAAGATAGATAACCATATTACTGAGTTTTGTTGGATCATTGAACAAAACTGTTTGCAGTCTCACTGTTTGAAAGTCCACTTTATATGCTTTAATTTTGTAACTTGAACAACTATTTCTAAGATGACAATATGTAATCTATTAACTAGTGATTTCCTACTATTCATTTTTTCTGAAATTCTGTATAACTTGTACCCTTTTTCTGTTTTTTTCTTTTTCTCCTTAAATAAAATTTAAAAAAATTTTATTGTGAAAGTAGTAAAAATACAACAGAACAAGACAGAACAAAGCCAGTCGAGACAATGCATTGAAATTGGAACAGAACTTCACAGTAGGATACTGGGATGATAGTAATAGGTACTATGCTATATCTTGTTGTCTTCACAATAGTTGTCTAGTCAATTAGGTGTAGTGAAATCAAATCAAAAACAGAATACTATAAAACTAATCGATAGTATTGAATAGAGCAAAAGAAACATAACAAAATAAAACAGTGAAGACAACCTTTGCCTTCAAACAGACGATGGAAGGAAATCCCCCATATTTTCTATATTGCATATGGTCATGATGCAGAGACATCTATCTCCAGAAGCTACGTAGCTACGTGTGTGTGTGTGTGTGTGTGTGTGTGTGTGTGTGTGAGTGTGGGGGTGTGTGTGTTGGATCTTCAGCCTGCGTGCCTGTAGGCTCACAGGAGTTGCTGGTTCTCCTCCTGGCCATGCAGGGAGCAGGGAGCACTTACCATGAGGGCAGGCGAATAAGCTGCCTAAGTCCCACCATGGCTGGATCTCAGGAGCACTGGTTCTCCTCTTGGCCCATGCCAGGAGTGCTTTTGAGCACTTACTTTCCCTTTCATTATTACAATATCCACTGTACATTTTGGATCTTATTACTTTTTCAGTTTATTATTATTATTTTTAACACAAGAGTGACAACACAATGTTTATAAATGTGAGTATGATTTATTTCACTTATGAGTATAGTGTCAAGTTGCTTCCATTTACCTATAAAAGCCTCAAAATTGAATTTTATTTATTTTAAAAATTTTGAGACATGGTCTCTTGCTAAGTCTCCAGGGTGGGCTTGAATTTGAGATCTGTCTGCTTCAGCCTAGAGTGCTGAGATTACAAATATATACCACCACTTCTCAACTTCCTGCAGTGTTAAGTACATTTTCTTTGAAAGCCAAAACAAGATTGCACTGTAAACAAGATGATTTATTTATTTTTTTGGTAACTCTCATGAGGTTTAGAGAAATGGTGGTTATTTAATGATTTATTTATTTCTGGAAATCAAACTCAGGACCTCACACTTGACAGGCAGGTGCTGTGCCACTGAACTAAATCCCCAGCCCAAAATGGTGGGTTTTAAAATAAGCAAAGCTGCCTTCACTTTCCAGAAGTTTTGATGAATGCTACATACTCAGGCAAACTCTGTAAATGTTATTCTCACCTTTTACCCTACTGACAATTGAATTTTGTAGACGAAATTAATAGGGATGAGAGCTGGCAATGGGTTGTGTTGAGAAATATTTATTTGGTTTACTGCAAAAGGAAACAAAACTGGTAGTAAAACATTAGAAAATGTTTCCTTTCTATAAGTTTAGCAAAATGATCCTGGTTCTGCTGCTATGCATTAAAACAGAGTTTTATGGTACCTGAAAATTCTGCATTTTTCTAACACCAAACTGAAAGTAGGTCATTTACCTGGTTTGCTGAATCCCATTTTCAAGAACTAATATTGAAGCCTTAGGCCTAAGGCATGGCACTTTACCACCATTCCACTCTGCTCGTAGTGGTAAATGAGTAAACCAGTAAGCCAGCCTGACAGCTCTGTGCTTACTGTGTGTGAAGGTTATGGGATGTAACAAGCCGCGTGCTTGGCTCCCTCGTGAGCAGTTATCTTTTCAGGGAGTCAGCCTGTCCTTGGGTTATTCTCGTTTGCTGGTGTTTGAAGCTGCTTATAGAAAGTGAGGGGCAAAATGAAGGAGGCTTTTTGATCTCCTTTCCTCCCTTGTCTTCCCTCCTGTCTTCTGCTATTTGGGGAAAGGAAGCTGAAAGACCTCCTGGTGGGACTGCAGGAGTGCGCAGGGGCTCACTGCATGCCTGCGTAGTGCTGGTCCAGAGGAGGTGCCTTTTGGACCTGTGTCTTACCTATCCGCCTCCTGCAGCCCTCAGCCCTGCCTGGCATGAAAACACTTAATAACGCCTTACTGGATGTTGATTGATTACCAGGGCTCACATAGCACTGTCGTAAAGGTTTCTTCTTTTTCTCCTTCTTTTCTTCTTCTTCTTCTTCTTTACTGTTTTTCTTTCTAGAATTGCCTGTGATGCAGCATCAAACCAGATTCCAAGATCCCATTTGTGTGTGTGTGTGTGTGTGTGTGTGTGTGTGTGTGTGTGTGTAAGGGATCTCTTGTTTTGCTGCACAGAAGGGCCTCTTTTGTCTCAGAAGCCTTAAATACTTGAATTGTTTGTGACAAAAAGCCATAGTACTGTCTATTAAGAGCAGCTTTTAGAACCTGTTCTTGTTTTCCCATTAAATAAAACCCAAGCGTATGACCTTGGCTGGCAGCGCTCTACATGAACTGGTTTCTGATTTCCTTGCTGACTTCACCTTTAGCACCTTCCTGTGTTTTAAACACACCAGGCCTTTTGCTTCCTGTTTATACTTCTGCCTGGAATGTTCTTCCACGTCTCATCCCGAACCTCTATCTTTCTGATTCTTTTCAAGATTGACCTGGTGGGGACTTATTCAGCAAAATCTTCTTTGTCTGATCTGTCATCCCTTTGTCCCTTCATTTTATACCTGGGCACTTTCCATTTCCCCATGTTTGCTTTCTTGCTTATTAGCTCTTTGTTCCATTCACTTGAACAATTCTCAAGGGCAGGACATTTTCTTGTTTGTTTGTCAACCCGTCCCGTGTAAGCTCTCGACTAATACATATTCAAATAAATGAATGAACTGTCAGTTTACCTTGCATCAAAAAGAGATTCAAATTTAAGATTATATTTTTTTCTCTCAGATTCTTGGCCCACAATATGCATACACACAGTGCATATGTGGTTCATACTGCGAAAGTTCCCTAGGAAGATAAGGAACTGCTTTTGAAGAATAGGGCTGGTGATTTAGTGCCTGTGGTCTAACTACTAACATTCATGCTTTTTATTCCTCAACTTCTAATGTGTTCTCTCCACCCATTTCTTTCTTTTGTCTGTCTTTTTCAGCAAGGGAAGCCATATGTCTTTGACAGAGTGCTGCCGCCCAATACTACCCAAGAGCAGGTTTACAATGCGTGTGCGAAGCAAATTGTCAAAGGTAAGTGCTATTTCTTTATTTCCTCCTGGGCCTTTCAGAGTAATGGAAAACATTAAGTGATATTTGCAGCCCAGGAATCAATGTGCCTTGACTGTAAGCAGGGGCCTACTAATTAGAAACTGAATTACAGCCTTGCTTTGGCCTTGATTTGCTGAGATGTCAGTCAAGTTGTTCAGTCTCTTGCTACCTCCTTTCTTTATTTATTTTGATGCCTTTTTGGTAGAGTTTTTCTATCCCTTTAAAAGCTTAAAAGCAGTGGTAAGCTGTGGTCATACTGCTTCTGTAATGGTTTGAAAATACTACAGGTATTGTGTTTTTTTTTCATATGAAGGAGATGCTCCAGTTGTACATTTTTAGCTGATTTATTTTGTGCATGTCTCCTTTTTTATGACTATCTCTCTAAAAGAATGCGAAATGCGAAAAATACTTGCCATCAAGGAATTTTCTGTCATAAAATCACGTCAGCTTGCTGATTATTGAGCTATTCTTGCTCATCAGCATTCCTTAATTATCGCCCCCATCTACCCCTCTCCCAGCCATCCTACCCAGATCTTGACATTTGTTCCTCCAAACAGGTAGCCTCAAGCCTGCATTTGTGCCTCAGAGATTGGTTCTTTTCTCTGGGACTGACCTTGGCCCTGGAGGATTTGTGTCAAAACAGCAGGGAGCTGAAGCAATTTACACATTGTTCTACCTTGCCCTTTCAAAGCAGGGGCAGGTTGGCACTTGCCTTGGCAGAGCCTGCCATCTGGACAGAGCTGGGAGCCATCTTTGGCTCTTTGACTTTTCATCATCACATCCTTGCCATCTAATTTGAATGCTGTGCCAGTTGTGGTTTGAATTGTCATGATGCTGCCACTTCGGTAGATAGTTTTGGACTTAAAAAGCCAAAGAGACAAACACAAGCAGAAAATACTCTGCTGTTTTAGATTTGCTGGTTGTTAGAGACTAAGCTGACTAACCTAACTATTTGAAATTCATGGAAATCAGCCCTGGGTCCATCTGGTAGATTAATTCTGACCCTGGCCACCTGTGTGGGAGACTCATGTCAGTATGTAATGTTCCTTGCTGAGATGTAAGGTTGTTCACATTCTTGTTGCAGACAATCAATTAAATTTGAAGGTCTTCCAGTGAGATTATGCTTGAAAGCTGAAGGAAAAAATTATGCCTGAATTTGAGCTCCTTTTTGTCTTCTCTTTACTCTTTTGCTTCTCTTTTTATTTAAGCATATTTTCTTTCTTTTTATAGCCTTTCTTCTTCATTTGTTCCTACTCAGCCCTCCTTCTTCTGTAATGCTGGATTCATTCATATTTTACTAAAGTAAGATTAATCATAAATGTGCCACGTTTCCTTTTTTCTCTCCTCTTTTATTATCAGAAGCAAATAGTATTTACCACATGCAGTGCTAAGCATGAAGGCCATTTAAATACATCCCACCCATGCTAAATGCACTTAATTAGGAGTGACTGCATTCCATGAAGAAAACCTTGTGATTAACAAACAATAATAACATCTTTGAGTCTTTATTCACTAGATATTGGGGCCCCTTTTAATGTTTGGATTTTTCTAAGGGATGAAATTACTGTTCCATCCCATTAAGGTATGTATTTTTAATGTTTTTTGTGTATTTGTTTAAAAATAATTTAAAAGAAATAGGCAGTCCCCAGGAATATCTTGTGAAGATAGGACCTAATTCTGGTTACCTCGATTCCCTACGTATATAGTAAGCCATAAAGAAAACTACTTAGGATAAAATCAGGCTCTGACATGATATGATAAATAGGCATTTCTAGGGCACCATAAATATAACATGAGCATACTCATTTGATAGCAGTAAAGAATACCTTATTAGCCATTGAAAAAAAGTGGTTAGGTTGTGATGAGGTCTAGATTGGAGTTTTAAAAATATCCACCAAAGCTAGAGTGAGGAATGAGGCATATATTTCTGCATCCACATGTAAAATATAGATATAAAAGCAAGACACCCTCGGAGTGCATTACCAAGTAATGCTGAGGTAGCTTAGCCCCGAGGAGCTCTTCCCAAGTCAGGACTAGGAGGTGGTGCTTTTTTTCCCTGGAAGTTGAGACTCAAATCAATTAATTAATCTTGAAGGTTACCCCTGATATATGGTAATGTGATGAACTGGTGAGTTTTCCTTCCCAAGTTTGTCCAAACCCCTAATGATTTTGAGGATATTAAAGATTCCCTTTAACTGGAGTTTTGTTCTCTATAACTTCACTTCCTTTTTAGTATTTCAGATTGTAGAGTCCTGGCATCATCATCACTCCTTTCTTGATATGTTTTCAAATGCCGCTTGAGAGCACACAGAATTCTGCACTTTTTTTTTTTTGTCTTTTTCCTTTTTATCGGTACCAGGGATCGAACTCATGACTGCCTGCTTGCAAGGCAGGTGCTTATGTCTCTGAGCTAAATCCCCAGCCCCGAATTCTGCACTTCTTTAAGAACAGGTTGTAGCCTTGTGAGTACCAGCACAACTAAATAGCAAGGCTCCTGTGAAAAACCTAGGAATTAAACACCATGGTTACTGGATGCTCTTGCTGAAGTCCTGGTAAATGTGACCCAGTCTGTGGAAGCCATGTAAGCACTTGCCTTCCAAGTTAACTAGAAGTGAACTATCCAGATGTTAGAGAAGGTAGTTTCTGGTGTTCTGAGCTTTTTGAACTTCATTCATTATTTCTGCAAATAATATTAAGCACTACCCATGTGGTAACCCCGCCAGGAACTGGAATCACCAAGACACAAAGCTGTCTGCAAGAAACTTTTGAGTATTGGGAAAGAGGCAAATGCATACCTACACATAGGAATTCTGTACTTTAAGATGGGTATGTGGAAAATGCTAGAGCGATGCAGAAGAATGCCACTCTGTACTGAATTTTGATGAGTGGGGAGGGGAGAGGGTGTGGAGAATGAAGGAAGTCTTCTTGGCTTGGTTAGACCCTGAGTAGCCTAGACTATAGCGGGGCTATTCAAGCAGAGAGAATAGCAAAAGTGTAAATCACAAATTATGTGGTGTGCTGGAGCAGTGTAGAGTGGCAGAGGTTGCAGAGCAGCATGATGGTGACTGAGGCTGCAAAATTTAGGCTGGATCTGAGTTTGGTGGAAATCCATGGACTTTGTCTTGTAGGTATGGTGGGCTCAAAAGTTTTAAGCTTAAGGTGATATACTCAGATGTATTTTATTATCTATCTGTGTGACTCGAGAAGAATATACCTTAAAAATATTCTTTATCATGTGCACCCTATGTACGTTATGTCTAACTGCATCTTAAATCTTAACTTTATGAGGTGTGATCGTTATTAATATCATTAAACTAAAGAGGACTTGGACACTCAGAGAGTTGAAGTAACCTGGCCACAGCCTGGCTTGGCTAACTAATTCTTGGCTAACTAACTCTCAACTAGCCTGGCTTACTTTCCTGGTGGGTCCACATGAGCTTTTGAAAACAATCAGAAAGTAATTATTTTATCAGTTGATCCTTTTCTATCAGGCCATATGAATGTATTGAAAAAGAGGCATGGGTGGAGCATAAAGGGAAAAGAATGGTGGCTGTGGTCCCAGAGCTCCGTGGGCCTTGCAGCCTGCCCATCCTGAGGTGTGCACCTGCCAGGGCACAGGGACTGCGTGCAGCCTTCTTTGCTGGATGGATTGCATCCATTTTCTGCTGCCATGGACAGTGGGAGTGGTGTGGATGGCTGGTGAGACGCTTGGGGTCAGCTGCTGTGGTCAGATATCCCGGTGCTCCGACAGGCCACTGTGTTGCCTGGAGCAGTGGTAAGAGGCTGCAGCAGCCTCCTCAGGAGGATTGATGTGGCGAGTTTGGAACCCAGCATGCACCCTATGCTTCTGAATGCTGCAGGAGGAGACAGTGAGAAATTTCAAGTATCCTCTGTTCTCTCTGCTCTCTTGGCACCTTCAGTGAGAGCTCTCTGGGTTTTGCCTGGCTGCTGATGGACATGGGTCGGGTTTATGGGGTGCAGGGATCTGTATGGTGCAAGTTTAGATAACATTACACTAGACCCCATTACAAAGAAAGTTCTGTCAGGCAGAATGTGGCCAGCGTGTAGAAAGTCATTCTGTTTCAGCAGAGACTGTGAAACAAATGCACTCCTCGGCCCAGGAACTGTGTGTCTTTCGATGTGATGAAAGTCCTTTCTGTGGGCCATGTGGGGGAAGGTGGGGCTGTGCAGCTCTGTGCAGTGCTGAGCACAGGTCCTTGGCTTCCCTGATCCCCCCTCTCCTGTAGCCCCAGGGCGACTCCCCCTGCCTCTCCTCACCACTGAAAATAAAGCAGACTGTAAAAGCAAGTTCCCAGAATCTGGAGTTGAAAGAAAATAGAAAACCTTGGGTTCAAAGAGCTGTATCTTTTCTTTAATGTTATCTTCTCTTTCAGCACTGAGGGCCGCATCAGCTGTGCGCAGCCTTGAATGTGAGAGGCTCTCCAACAATGTGTTAATTGTAGCGCGATTGTGAATACTATAAAGGCCAACTGCAGTTTGTTCTAATGGGGTTTTATATTGTTCTCTCTCTCTCTTTTTTTTTGTGATAAATTTTGAAAGAAAGTAAGCAAGCAGTTTCGCTGACTGTTGACACTGCCATGAAAAATGGATTCTCTGAGTACACACCAGCACTTTATTCCTAAATAAAGCAATGCTGCCACTGGGCTCTCAGCTTCATAAATGTGACCCAGGGGTTTCAGGAGCAGCCGCCAAAAAGCAGTCAGTAGGACTGTACATTGTACTTGGTGGGAGTGGACAGAGGGGTGGCCTCATTCAGATTGGCTGCTGCGCTTCTTGCCAGGCGACTAACAGTGGCCCGAGGTCCTTATCAAGGGGGCCTGGGCTCTGCACTATAGCCTTTAGAGTGGGGCAGGGTGCTCACTGCCACTTCCCTGGGGCCTCCTGGGGGAATGAGCACTTGTAGGATGGATAGTGGGGGTCATGCGGCCAGATCTCAGTCCTGGCATCTTTTATTTATGTCTTTTTAAGAAACAGTCTCGCTATGCAGCTCAGGCTGGCTTTGAGCTCACTTTGTAGCCTAGGCTGGTCTCTAAATTGCAACTTCCTGCATCAGCCTCCCAAGTGCAGGGATTACAGGCATGAGCACCACCATGCGCAGCTTGAAGTGAAGATAGAATTTCAGACCTTGAAGACAGGATTGTAGCTAGTGAACAGGAAAGGAAAGATCTTTTAAAAATAACAAGGAATCAGGAAATAACAGTTCAACAACTGCAAGACGATGCAAAGAAAAACAACATAATATTAATAGGGATTAATGAAAAAGAAAGGGACAACAAAAAGGATGTCAAGAGGATATTTAGAGAAGTAATAGCTGAAAATTTCCCGAACATGAGATCAGAAACCGACATCAGGTTCAGTGAAGCCTATAGAACTCCAAATAGTCAATAATCACCATCCCAGAAATCCAACACAAGAATAGATTATTAAAAGCTGTCAGAGAGAAAAGACAGATCACTTATAAAGGAAAACCTATCAGAATCACAGCAGACTTCTCAGCACAAACAATAAAGTCAAGAAGAGCATGGAGTGAAGTATTCTAGATCCTAAAGCAAAATGATTTCCAACCTAGACTGATGTACCCTGCAAAACTATCATTCAAAATCGATGGTGAAATACGATACTTCCATGACAAAGAACAGCTGAAGAACTTCATGAACACCAAGCCAACCCTGCAAAAAATATTGAGAGACAGTTTAGATACACAAAGGAAAAAACCACTAAGCAAAGCAGATAATTAAACAGAACAGAAAGATAAAGATGCAACAGCAGAGAGATAACATGTCAACAATAAACCAGCGTATAACAGTTATAACCATTAATGTAAATGGTCTCAATGCACCAATCAAAAGAGTTTTGGAATTTTTAATGTTATCTTAGCATCTGGTCCTGGGCCACAAAGCCCTTCATACTCAGGTTAAAATACAGAAACTGCTGAGTGTGGCATACACACTTTTAATCCCAGCACTGGGACCCTGGAACAGGAGAATTTTAAATTCTAATCCAGTCTCAGTGATTTAGTGAGACCAAATCGCAGCCCCCCCCCCCCCCCCCCAAATGACAAAGAAGACTGTAGGGGCTGAGATTTTAGCCCAGCAGCATAAGTGCCTGCCTGGCAAGCATGAGGTTGTGAGTTTGATACCCAGTACCAAACAAAAACAAAACCAACCATCCTCAAAGAATTCTGGGGTGATAGCTCAGTGCAGAGACGTTGGGTTCAATCCCGATGATTGGGGAGGAGCTATTAAAAAAAATCCAAATAAATGAAGAAGGCCTGTGTAGTTTGTGGGGAGCTGTTTAATTTCTAATAAATGAAAGTTTAGTATTAACCAGCATCTCAATTGTCTAGAGTTGTTCTTGTTATTAATATACAAAGTGAAAACCCCAACCAAAGGAGGGGACCTCTTTTCTTTCGGCCTCTTAAAGCAAATCACCTGTGCGGTTAGTATAGAGACACTCTGTTCACTGTGCTCTGGCCCTGTCTTCAGGCCCCAGGAATCTTTTCTCTAAACAAATTGGCATTTTCATGGAAACCAAAGCATGAACCTCTAGCCCTGACATTGACTTCTTCAGTTTTTGCTTTCTGCTGTTACCAGGGAAAATGTTTATGGGGGAACATTCTCCGTCCCTTCCCCCTCCTTCTTTTTTTCTTCTCCCTTCCTCCCTCCCCTCTTCCTCTTTTGAGATAGCTTGATGCAACCTGTGAGGGCTGCTAGGATTAAAAGCACAAAAAACGAAAATCCTCTTTATTTCCTGATCCCAGTTCACACTCCAACAACCTCAGATCAATATAATGTATATTTAAACAGTTTAAAGAATGCTATAAAGCAAAACAGAAACAAACAAGCATATTAAAATTCAGAGGCTTCCTCCCTCTGTCATCCCAAATGTGAAATGAATGGACAGAGCTGATTGCTTGGCTTGTGCTTCTTGCATAATCCTAAGAGGACACCTCCATGTGAGACTCCTCTTCTAGCCCTCACTGCTCCTGTACTTGAAGACTTTCTATTCTGCTGCAGGATGGCAGGTTGGCATATTAATTATGCATTGTTTCCTTTTCCATGATGCTTGTGTGTATATAGGAGGAAGATAGAAAGGAGTATATTGTAATCACCTCTGCTGCTTTGAAAGAATCTCCACTGATAATACTCAGTTCTGCAGCAGAAAACATGGCTCTGCATGCTTTCTCGTACCCCTCTGTGAAACGGAAGCTGGTCTGCCCTGTGTGTGGTTTTGCACAGTGTGCTCATTGTGTAATTAAGAGAAATTCCTCATGCTGACGGGCCTGGGCCACCTTACTTACTGACACTGAAATACAGAGGCATTAAAATTAAGTCAAGGCTCTACTGGTTTCTGAGGTGACTGGATTGTTCCTGTGGGGCTCAGTTTACAGTGAGGGGCCTCGTCCCTCCTCCGTTCTAGTTGAGGCTGTTCTGAGGGAGCTATGTTGAGGGCCCCATGAGAAATCTCCCCAAAGGGCTGGCCTGGTCAGGGTTTGGCTGACCCTGATGATTCGTCAGGTAGACATTCTAATTTAACCTCACGTTAGAAACAGAATTTGGGTAATGTTCCCCGCCCCCAACTTTTCTCAAGTGATCAATGTATAGGAGACTCAAGTATTCTACTAAAAAGATTTTCTGGATGATGTTTCTCCTTTAATTTTAATGTTACTGAAAGAAGGAGTTTTTGCTTCTTTCTTCACTGATTTCTATACTAATATATTGTGTAGAAATGTGAGTTCATTTTTATTCGCTTTGTGGAATTATGGAAGCCCTCATTTCTGTTCTTACCTTACAGTTCTAAGTAAGTAAGATACACAGGTTGATATATATCATTTGTGTGAATAGGTGGCCATTTGGAAACTGTAGTTTTAAGATATGAAACAACACCAGCCATAGGTTCAAAGTAATGAATTAATTTTAATTAAAAAATTATTTTTGCACACAGATGTCCTTGAAGGTTATAATGGGACCATTTTTGCATATGGACAGACTTCATCAGGCAAGACCCATACCATGGAGGTAAGATTGCAGTGCACTGTAACATCAATCTCTGAAATGACTGAATGCAGTGGGTGCTTGCAGAGGTGGACATGGCTTCTTCACTGGACAACAGAGATGGCTAGTTATGTCTTTGAGAAACTTTAAAATAGATGAATTGTAAAGTGTTAAGAATATTATTAAAGGGGCTGAGAATTTAGCTCAGCGGCATAAGCACCTGCCCTGGAAGCAGGTGGTCGTGAGTTCGACCCCTAGTACTAGGAAAAAAAGAAAAAAAAAAAAAAAGAAGCACAAGAATACTATTAAATTACATTTGTTATTATTGCTATTATTATTAATTTGGTTGTTTGAGGAAGGGTATTGCTGTGTGGTTCATGCTAGTCTTGAACTCACTATGTAACCCAAGCTGACCTCAAACTCTTGGTGACCCTTCTGCCTCAGTTCCTGAGGGTTGGCATTAAAGGTGTGTATCATTATAGGAGTTCAGTATTTTAAAATATCTTTTGTTAATAACTGTTAAAGTGTAATGGTAAGTTCCATTTGAAAATAGTCATGAGGGCTGGGAGTGTAGGTCAGTGGTGCAACAGGTATCTATCAGGCATGAGGCCCTAGTGATCCCTTTTGCCTGAAAAAAATAAAAAAGAGGAAGAAGAAGAAGAAGAAGAAGAAGAAGAAGAAGAAGAAGAAGAAGAAGAGGAAGAGGAAGAAGAGGAAGAGGAAGAAGGAGAGGAAGAAGAAAAAGAAACAAATTAGGATGAATGGTGGTGAGACTGTCCTTATGGACTGGAGCACAGCATAACCGAGGGATCCTGTTATAACAGTCATTTACCCTGGAGAGGGCCTCTGGGGAGGGCGCCTCTTTAGAGTAAATAAAGAACTGTAGGCCAGAGATTTAAAGAAGTTGGTTATGGATCAAATTCAGCTCAAAGACATAGTTTTGTTTAGCTTGCACAGTGGTTTAAAAAAATCGTGCAGTGTTTAAAATAGGATGATTTCACACAATTCTAGTTTTTCCATCTTAGGCTGAACATTCTGAAGATCTGGCATCATTGGGTGACTGTCACCACAACGTAAAATGCAGGCTTTCCGAGAGCAAGAATCTTCACAGTTTTGGTCGCCATCCCCTTTAAATTTGTTTACTTTTGTTGTTGTTGTTTTTGTTTGGTGCTAGGGATCAAACCCAGAGCTTTCACATGCTAGGTAAGAGCTCCACCACTGAGCTACAACCCTAGCCTTTAACATTTCGTGTGCAAGGAGTATTGGCTGTCAGGGAGGAGGGACTCCATAAAATATTTGAAATAGTACCAGTGAGGTAGCCCTGAGGACCCCACGTGCATGGCTGGGCTTTTCAGTGGACTGAGGAGTCTGCTTTCGGCACACGGAGAGTGAATGTGAACTTACAATGAGCCTCCCACTCATTAACTTTCACCTGTGATCCTGTAGACAAGTGAGGATGTGCCCTCGGGTCACACTGTTGCTTTGGAGCCCTGTGACTTCAGGCTGTCCTCTAAACAAGTCTTGTTCTCAGACAGAATTGGCCCCCTCCACTGCCTCTATTCCTACCTTTTACCAGGGACTCCTCTAGGGCTTTGGAGCTACATAATTCTCCTGAAGGCTGGTTCTATCTGAAAAGGAAGGAGAGTAGAGAGTGAGGATTATAAGAAACTGCACGGGGAGTTTGGGGAATTGAGCTTACAAGTTGCAGGGTAAAATGAATCCTTAATCTTTCCTGCTAAGGTTTTTTCATTTATGAATCCCTCCTGGGAACAGCACTGAGATGGTTGCCGCAGAATAGGTTTAGCTTATGAATCATTCCTATTGAAGAGGTGATTTCAAAGGCAGGAGGCTAAAATCCTCAGGGCTCTGATGTTCTGTGTGCACTGGTTTTCAGTGTGGGATGTGACACCGGGGGATCTCATTTCTGCGGTGTTGACTCTCTTTCACTTGTTTTGCTGAAGACAAAGTGGTTCAGAAACTGTGGATTAAAGAAACCAGGTTTATTTGCCATCGCTTCTCAAGCAGGACCATTCCTGAAATGAGCTCCATGGGCTCAAGGCCCCTGCCTCTGCATCTGTGGTCTACAGCTGTACATCTGGGAAACACTGGCCGTGCCATCCTTGTATCCACCTGGGCCCTTTGCCTTCCTTCAACTTTCTGGGCTCCAGACCTTTAGCCTTTAGACACTAGAAAAGTCACAGTTACACATTTACGGTAGCTGTGGACAAGACACTTTCCCCTAGGTTTTAAGAGAGGAGGTGGCATCTTGTGAGGAAATCTATCAATTCTGCAGTTCTGAAGAAATTATCACACTAGTACAATACAAAAGAGAAAACAAATCCTCAGTTTTTAAAATCTCCCAAACTCTTAGCAAATGTTTGTAAGAGTGCTTCTTTAAGCTTTGAGCTTAATTTATCTTTCAGAGATATAAAGTATTTGCTAAATGTCAGAAATTTAAACTGTAAGAAATCAAGAGAGAAAATTCTCCCCAGAATAATATTTTTTCTAGGGTGTGAATGGATAGGCGTAGGGTTATAGGAACAAGACATGCCAGCCTTTTAATACTAACACGGGAGACATTTTGCTAAATGAAAGGTTCCTATCCCTCAGCACCTGCTGGTGTTCACAGAGAGAGAACTCCTGGGGTCGGCAGGGGGCCCGGATTCTGTCGGGGTCTCACCTGCCGCTGGCTAAATTCTAATGTCTCTGCATCTTTGTTATTTTCAAATAGTTGCTATAATGAGTTGCTTTTCTTTATTGTGTCTTTTGAAGATCACACATTTATGCCTGCAGTTGGAAAAGATTCATGTGGCTCTGAAGACTTACACACATATGCACACACCCAAAGTTTCCTTCTGCCACTAGCCTCCTTGCTGAATCCTTTTCTTTGTAGGGTAATTATAGATTGGAGGAAGGCAGGGGGTGCTTTAAGAGGGAAGCAGAGCAAAAGAGGAGCCCCAAGCTGAAGTCATAGAGACTGCAGGAGACCAAGAAATCCAGGACTTGGGAATGCAATTAAGTTAAAAACCTCTGCAGGTTTGCATCCTCTAAAAGGAGAATTTTATATATGCAGAATTACACATTATGATCCTTCAAAGACTTTCAGAAGAGGATGTTAACTCCCTAAGTGGACAGAGCTGACACATTTTAAAACTGTTTTCCATTTTAATCCCCTCATTTTGGGCCTGACATCCAGTGGTGATTCCATTACCATCTATTGAAGAGAACAAACAGATAAACCTACATAAAACTGGAAATATTAGCTTCTCGTGATAGAGCACATAAGGTGGATTTTTAGTAAAAAATGTGACTCACTGGCTAACCATGGCAGGTAGCACCATGCAAGGGGCTGTGGACTTGTCTGGGGTCCCTGGGTTATGTAGGGGGGGGTGCTGGGGTGCTGACAGCTGCTGGGATCAGGAACTTGACCCTGTATCTGATGCTAGGAAGGGCATCTCTTAGCCCCACACCTTGCTTTGTGGCCTTCAGCACACTGAGACAGATGGCTGGAGACTCCTGTATTTTCCTTCTGCTCCGAGGAACCCCTGGAGACCATCTAAATGTGCAGCTTACTGCAGCGGAGGAACAAAGTCAGCTGGAGTGCATGGTGCTCACGTGCGGACGGCTGCCTGCTTCCCCGTGTTAAGTGCTTCAGGAAACTCTGTCCTACTTAGGAGGCCAGGGGGCCACAGGTGCTGAACAAAGAGAGCCTTGTTTGGTGGCCAGTGACTGGGGTCCTGTTTCTTCTGTGCCTACTCTAGAAGGTCATATTTAGTGGGAAAACTTTTTGAAGAGAGCTATACAGGTTTCAGTTATAAAAATGTTTCACTTGCTTGCTCTCAGAGAAGTACAAAAGGAAGAAGCAGTTGTCTTTGCTATGCAAGTTCATTCCTGATCCTTTAGCTGGAGGATACTTTCACTGTTCTCTGAATGAGCACTGTTACTTCTCAGTCCTGCGACTTTATTCATCTTTTTGTCCACATCCTTTCTGCTCATCCTCAACCCCACTCAGCCCTCGAGTGAGGGCTCCCAACTTAGTGCCTCCCAAGGAAGCCATCTCTTATTACCCCAACTGCAAGGGCTTTTCTGTGCCCTGAATTTTTGGCTCTCAACTTCTTTACTACTGTTTATGGCCTGAGGAGATTGTGCATTGTGTGTCTGTGCATGTACACAGAACCAGTGAAGACATTCATACACACAGTGCACACATACACACAACACAGGCACACCACATTCATCACATATGCACAGCACACACACATATCCCATGTACGCCACACACAAACATATATACTCCACATATATATACACACACTGATACACTCTGTATATATCACTTACACATACTATACTACAAAATATACGCATACCATACTGACCACATACATGTATATTACACACACATGTACTCTTACATCTCACACACTGCATGTGCACATGCCACACATAGACACATAACACAGCACATGGTATTCATGCCCCACATAAAAACACACTCTTTCTTTCTCTCTCTCTCCTTCTCTCTCTCTCTCTCTTACTGTTTCATTGGGCTCATTTTAATACAGGAATCAATTGGATGATAACCTGTTGAAAGAGAAACTACCTGAGGAAACAAACTTGAGTCAATTATAAAGGATTTTTAGAATACCATTCATTCTTCTCTGGTTGTGGACCAGAGGAGAAGCTAAAGGACTGCATGAATTATTCAAGAGCACTGGAAGTTTGGGTAGGGAAGTCTTTTGATTGGATGAGTGGAGCTGTGACATTTGACTGGAAGGAGAAGTGTTCTCTTTTTCTTTTTTAAAATGAGACCTGTTTTTCTCCAACAGTGATTATTTCAGCCAACAATCTCCACAGTTTAGAGCATATGGGCTATGGTCCGGTTGGTCACTTGTGTATGACAGCCTCTGGGATTTAAGTCACTAAGATGAAGACTCTTGCTCTCAAACATTCCGTGTTGTTTTCCTAAGATATGTAGTAATGGTCTGGAGAAGAAGTGAGCTTTTAGATTTTATATGCCATATAGGTCTCAACAACTACCGAGAGAGAACCTGCTGTGAACTGAGTGTACAAGTGAACATTTATTAAGCCCTTCCTATGACACCAGGCACTTCATTTTATCTTAGTTAACTTAAACTCTGCACTAATTCTGTGCAATAAATATAGTCCTAAGTATCCTAAGTGGTAGGTGGAAATATATATATGCCTTGGCATTGTATCTTAAGGAAGTATATAGTCAAACTAAAAAACAGTGTAAAACTCTGAATGACTTATCTTTCTCTATATTGGAAGGCATTCCAGAAGAATTCTCACCCTTTTGGCCAGGTCAGAGAATTTTGCCAGAGGCCAGACATGTTTAAATCCAGTGTCTGATACCTTTAACACAGTGAAAGTCCAGATTCAAGTCTACAAAGGAAGACTTGTGTTGCTAGGTGCTTGGTGGCCTGTTGTTAGTGCTGGGGTTCACATGGGTTCTTATTTTTGCTAATTTACTCTTTTTTCTTCAGAGCTTTACAACATTGCACCTTTAGAGGTTAGTATGTGGTAAAACTCTGAAGAATAAAGAGTATTCACTGAGGAAGAAAAAACTGATCTTCTAAGCTCTGGGCTGATTAGAACAAAGATGTGGGTCAGAATGGTTAAGGCAGTGGTGGGCAGCCTCGGAGACTGAAGCAACAACTCGGTTTTGAGCTTTTGTTCTCATTGCATTTGTTCCTAGGGTTTTGTAACTTTACAAAGACTTAGAAAAATTCTCTGAGTATATATTTGCCTTGATCGCTACAGACTTGCAGACTGTGTGTGCACTGATGGCTGTTTAACACACGTGAGAGAACTCTGAAAGTAGAAGGCTCTCTGGAGGCCGCACCCCTAGGACGTGCTGCATTCATGGCCTTTAATATTTCTGGAACCCTTCTTTGGAAATTGCTGTCAGATCCTGTGTGGTGGTGCTGGGGGACCCCTTCTGGTGGTGCCAGGGATTGATTGTGGATGCTAAGTAAGGACAGTATCACTGAGTTACCTCCTTTGCCATCTCTGGAAAGTCTTGAAAGGTAGTTAGTGGTGAGTTCTGGGAGTTAAAATGATCTAGTAATAGTTCAAATAGTATAAAAATTAAATATATCCCTTCACTCCTAGATAAAATGAGAAGTGGAAAAAAATGTGAAACTATCCTAAAAAGTGGATCTATGAATTAGAAACAGCCAAAAATAATTTGGAATAATTTAGGTTTGGAATTACAGATTTTAAAAATAAATTGATGAAACAGATCTTCTTGAGTGGTCTGGAAAATGATACATGAAAACTTTTGGAAAATAAGCTCTTTAGACATTTATGAACAGTGATAACTAATAAAATTAAGTCTATCCGTTCTCAAGATGATTCATTTATGAAGGTTAGTTTACTTGGATTCATAGGTCCCATTTGTTTCAGAATAACCACAAATAAAATTTATGTGTTCTCATTCTTTCTCTTGTTCCCCTTCTTTCTTCTCATCCGTATACTACCGACTTACACACTGATCTGTGGCAGCAGAAGGGGATATTGTCCAGGTTCAGTACTTAATAGAACACCTCCTGCTGGGTAAAAAAACATGAGCATATTAAGATAGACTTTTCATCTGTTGGCACATCAGGTAGACCCCAGGAAGTATTCCTTATTCCATGGAATTTTGGTTGACAAGCCAGGAATTCTCTTTCCTTCCCCCTCTCCCCCTCTCCCTTTCCCCCTCTCTCACTGTCTATGTTGTATTTTTCACCCACTAGGGGAAGCTGCATGATCCTCAACTCATGGGGATCATCCCAAGGATTGCACATGATATCTTTGACCATATTTATTCTATGGATGAGAACTTGGAGTTTCATATCAAGGTAAGTGCTATCGCTTGAGTACCAAGACACGAAATCCCAAATCATGTTGTTCAGTCTTCTTTTTTTTATGTAGATGTAAAAATGATTTCAGCTAATTGAAATGATGATTTTATCTAATTCCTGTGGGAAGCAGAGCCCTATTTATTTAATGACTTTGGCCAACTTAGCCATCTGGATAATTTGCTTGAAATACTCAGATAACGAAAATGAAGGCCTTCTTAGGATGGAATCATCTTGATGTCTAAATTCTACCATTCACTCTATGGATCTCTGTAGCATTGACTAGAATATGTCTGTGTTTAGTTTAGGACAAAGTGAGTTCCACAGAACATAAGCCCTTGTATTATTTATTAATAGATAGGCTACCAAAGAAAAGGGTAATATGACCAAATAAGCTTGGAAAATAATTTGATTTTAAAAACGTTGAGCTAAATTAGTTGAGTAAAATGCAGCTCTGCAAAGGAGATGTGTGCTGTACTATATTTCTCTATGTGAGGACATACATTTATCATTTGGGGTATGACAGGTTAGTGTTTTAGGAACATATTCTTCCAAGTATTGGGGAAGGCAATTCTCATCATTTTTCTCCTCTTTGTGGTTGTTTTAACTAAAACCTCTGTATTAGCTTAAATTTGAACTGAAAGTAAGACTTCTACTCTATTTTTTTAGCTGCTAAATCCTAAAATGTGGTAGTTGAGGTGTATTCACTGGAATTTCTTGTTTGCAAACTATTGAAGGCCGTTTGTCTAAGCAAATGGAGGAAAGGTGTACAGGTACAGAATCTAATAGGCGTAGAGCAGAGGCTGTGGAGAGGAAGAAATAAATCTGAGCTTTTCTTTTCTTTCTTTTTTCTTTAACTTAGAAATTGAGATATAAATTACATACCAGAAAATTCAACCTTTTAAAATGTACAATTTGTTAGGCTTTAGTATAGTCCCAGAATTGTACAATCACAGTCCTTATCTAATTGCAGAACATTTTCCCCACGCCCTAATAGAAGCTTTGTCTCCATTACAGCTTCTCTTTCTGCTTGCCTTTCTTTTATTCCAGATCACCTGTCTCTTATTTGGTTGGGGATGGGCGACACGGCACTCCTGTTCTGCATTCCTTACCTCCAAACCCGCATCCTCCTAGGAAGGAAGGGCTCATTGAAGGCGGGCGCCCCCTTGCCTTGGTTCTCTCTGTCCAGGATGCACAGGGTGTCTGACTCCTCATGCTGTCACTAGAGGTTGGGGTGCCAGGATGGGGAGAGAAGGAGCCTTTCTCAGAAGCCTCAGAACCAAGCAGATCAGCCGAGAGATTTCCCTGAAAGCTGGAGCCTTGGTTTGTTAGGCTCAGTAGATTGGGACAGATGAAGTTCAAAGGTGGACCAGTGGATGGCCTAAGTTATGAGTTGACCCTGAATTGACCAGTGCCACATGTACTTCTTCCTTACTTATACTAAATTTCTTCCTTATTTCTGCTATGTACTTTCCCTGAATTATATAAAATGAAGGCAACAACTGTTTGCCCAATTATAAATGATATCTAACAAATCACTTTCCCTTGCAGTTTCCTTTGTTGGTTAAAGTCTGCTTCAATTTGCCAGGCTTCTTTATATCTAAGGATACAGAAGCTTGTTGCTTTGATGGGATCAAGATTTAGAAGCTTAGGGCTCCTTTAAGACTGCTTGCATTTAAATACTTTAAACTACTGCAGAGTTCTTATGTGATAATCCTGGAATAAGATGTTAAACCAATTACTACCCTAGAAATAGTGTCTTGTGTTAGAATCTTCTTATACAAACAGCTTTAGTATGAAGTGGGGGAGGAGAGAAGCAACACTTTCTAAATCTCTGGAGCTGAATTTTGTAGTTCAAGTTCCTGTTTTTCATTTGTAGTTAATGCTTACTTGTTTCATAAATAATAGTTATATGTGGACCAGGTAGCTGCTGACTACTGTGTATTTTGAACTAGAGGGCCGGTTAAGGAAGTATTGAAAATCTGCTCCTTGAAATGAATCCCACAGAGGCTTTAAATGTTATTTCTGAATATGTTATTGCTTAATGTCAAACTATGCCTATTTATTTCCTTCCTCCTGGTCTCGCAAAGTATCTGAAGTGACAGAATAACAAAATTAGATTCCCGACCAAAAGCAGAAATTAATAAACCAGCATTCTGCTTCTTACTTTAAATGTGAACAAGATCTTAACTGCCGGATTTTGCAGTGGCTACTTTGTAACTACTCTTTAGTTATACTTAATTTTCTATGTAATCTATGGAAATAAGGTCACATGTTTAAGATTTCGAGGTAACAGAAAAGGTTTAAGGAAGATTAGATAATTGTGAAACAAGTTGAACAGGTGGGCACAAGGGTAGAGTTGTCTGCAGGAAACGCCAGGTTAGAGATGTATAGGATTGCAGACCAAAAAGGCCCCTGAAGATTCAGGCTGTGGGGAGTGTAGCAGCTTGAGAGATCATGCGGAATATTGAGGGGCTGGAGTGTACTCATTGGCAGAGTACTCGCCTGGCATGTGCTAGGCTTTGGGTTTCATCTCCAGCACCCAAAACACAAAACAATACTAAATGACTCCAACACTGAAAGTAGAGAACATTGAGACAGTGAATCTTTGAATGTCAGGTATGTGTGTGCATGAGACAAAGGGCCATTGGAGAAAAGTTCAAGTAAGAAGATGTGGTTAGGGAAACAGGCAACCAGGAGATGATGCCCAGCTGCAGATTTCAGGGTTCAAAGCCACGACCTTCAGTCTCACAGGAACTGAGAAGCTAGATACTTTCAGACTGAGGCACACAAAAATAACAGACCAGAACTGAATCAGGGCAAGGATTAGTACTGGTTTAAGGAGTCTTCAAGTTTCTCCAGTTAGAGGCAAGCTGGTCTTGAAATTGGATGTGGAATAATTTCACTCATGTCGTCACAGCCGGCTCTATAGCTACAGTCATGCATAGTTTAACAGCGGTTATATTCTGAGAGATGTGTCATTAGATGATTTGTCATTCTTCACACATCACAGAGTGGACTCACACAAATTAAGGAAACTATGATGTCACTAGCACTATATTGGTAAGGGACCATGACATGGTCCACTGCTACCAAAATATTGTTATGTGGCACATGACTATACTCTCTTTTTTGCCCTTTATTTGTATTTAAAAAACACTTATGAATAGTGGGGAGAAAAAGTTTATCTGGCAGATGTAAGCAGAGTGCAGAACCCTAGAGGAAATTTTTGACATCATAAAATCTAATGGCTTCATGTGACAGATGGGAAGATGTAGATTCTAGAATCTTATTTATGTGTGAATTAAATCCCCAGAACCACATAGTTAGTCATCAGCCAGCATAAGAGTCACATGGGGAATTTAGAAGCTCAGAGCTTGTCTCAGAGCTTCCTAGTAAAACTGCAGTTGGGTTCAGGACTCTGCAAGTTAAACAAATTCTGTAGGTGATGCTAATGCAAGTGGTGCTGGGGCTGATGCTTGGGAATAAATACCTGAAAGCCTTCCTTTTCCTTTCATAGTCTAATCATCTTCTAATAAATCCACATTTTGTTTAGATTCCTTCTTAGATTCCAAACCTGGCTGCCTTCCCAGGCTCTTTCCTAGTTAACTTCTTGAACTCTTGTAGTTTTAAGTTCACTGCCCTCTCCTGTCTCTCTTCCTTCATGTAAGTGTGTGGATTGTAGTTTCCCCTAGTTTTGATGAGCTATCAGTATCATTCAGTATCATTCACCTTACTGAATGATAAGGTAAGGGCCATTAATTTTTGAAAATTACTTGCAGAGGATGTGGTTATATTCTGACTCTTGTCATGTACAGAAATTTGCTTGCTGCCCATCTATGATGAAACCTAGAGTTCTCCTTTAAGTGTCTGTCTGACTCATGAGGTAAATAGCATATGAATAGAGACCCAGGGAGCTGTGGCATGGGCTGGACAATGGTCCACACTTAGCAGCGATGTCCTCAGCAGGCTAAACAATCAGGAAGCAGGTGGGCACAAGTGAGCTGGCTGCAGCTTTGTGTTCAGAATGCTGGGTCTTCACTTGGTCACGCGGGACATAGCTGTTGTAACATCTAATAATGATGTTTTTGAATTATAGAGTGTCATTTCTACTCCAATGTCAATTTGTCTTTAATCAGGTTTCCTATTTTGAGATCTACTTGGACAAAATAAGGGACTTACTTGATGGTGAGTAACCCTGAATGCTTCTCTTTATTTGCTCCGTAAATAAAAGTTCAGGAAGGTCAAAATAATTTCCAGTACTTCCAATTGAGAAATTGAAAACTTATGGAAAAGTTCCCTTGCCTAAACTTACGGAAAAGTTCCCATGCCTTCAGATTATATGCTCACTCTCAGCCATAGCTTAAATTTGCAAATTGTAAAAGCAGTAGATTTTCCTATCTTTTGTAACAATTTGTATTTTTCTTCCAATAGCGAGTTTTAAGCTCTTTTTTCTTTTTTTCATGTCATCATTATCTTTGTAGTATCCAAGACCAACTTGGCTGTTCATGAAGATAAAAACAGAGTTCCATATGTAAAGGTAGGAGGGAAGACTTCATTGGTGATGTGAATGAGTTTTCTCTTGTCACTGTCAAAGTAATTACTGTAATATGTAAGATGCCCACGATAGTATCTATAAGTGGCATATAGATACTTAGTCATGTGTCTTATATTTAATACTCATCTGGTCAAAATGAATGTTTACTTTCTTCACTTGCATCTTTATATAAATCATTACTTTTTTTTTAGTGTTGGGCACTGAAGCACACCCCCTGACCCTTTGATGTAAATAATTATTATTTGATGCTTTCACATTTGAAGAGACTTTGTTATGAAGTACAGTAGTTTATACTTTATAGTTAGGGGAATTCTGTCATACTATTATTTCTGGAATTTCAAAGTGTCTATTGATGGCTGCAATAGTAAATTAATAAAAAAGGCAAAGCAGTACCTCATCCATTCCTCTTTGATTTTGTTCTTTTATTTTTGGTATTCAGCACGTATTTTTGTTGGTTATGAATGTGTACTCAAAAACCTAGGAAAATCCAGCATTTCTTTTCTGGTTTACTTCTGGTTTCCTAGATTTTGCTTAGGTTTCGCTTTAATGTAGAATTCAAGCCCAAGGCAAGGATGAGACGTTGGATCAGCACTGCAGCCTTATTTATTTGTGCCTCCAGAAAGAATTGGGAAAAAGTTTAGCTGCTTCAAAATATTGTTGTTTTTCAATTCGTTTGATGGTCAACACAACTGATTCTGACTCTACTCCAGGGATGCACGGAGCGGTTTGTGTCAAGCCCGGAGGAGGTCATGGATGTCATAGATGAAGGCAAAGCAAACCGACATGTGGCTGTAACGAGTAAGTGTGGTGGTGATGTTTCCTCCCCTGTCACTTAGGATGCAAATGTCTGTCTCCCAGCAGGAAGGGTGATGATGAGCTACAAATGCAGTAAAGCGGAGAAGGTAGGTGGAAAGCCTGAGCACACCCCAGGCATGTGCAGTGCCAGTGTATCTGGGTGCTTGTGGGAAAGAGGTCTTCAGCTGTCTGGAGTGCTCTGAGGTCTTGAAATGTTAGGTAAGATTCACTGAACCCTGATAGCGGCCTCAGCCTAAACATTAAAGAAAATAATCAGCCAAGAGAGTAAGAAGTAAGTGTCTAGGTTTGTTTATTTTAACCTTGTTACTGTTCATGGTTTTGGTTTGTTTTTTTTTTTTTTTTGGTACTAGGGATTGAACTTGTGACCCACACTTGCCAGGCAGGCGCTCACACCACTGAGCTAACTCCCAGGCCCCTGTTCATGGTTTTTTTTTTTTAATCAACCCAACAAGTTTTACATGCCAGTCCTACATGTGAGAGAGATATCTTGTGAGATTTCCGCCTTCTGTATAAAGGGAAAAGAAAGACAAAGAGGAAGTCAGAAGGCAGAGCTAGGAGATGCTCAGCCACTGATGCTGTGCTGGCAGTGGATGCCCTCAGAGCAGCTCCTTTGCTCTGCACTTTCCGCCTCAGTGTGTGTATCGTGTGTCAGGGAAGCCATGCGGGTGTCCAGGGTGGTGCAGGTTCCATGTAAAGACTGAGGCTCTCTATCTTTCTTCTTCCCTGAGGAAAATGAGAGAAAGTGCATGTGAAGCAGAAGGAACTAAGCATTTCTAACTTCAAGGAGAAAAACCAATCTGGAGTGTATTTTAGCATGTTCCAGGTGACACTGGGAGGAGGGCCAGCTTGCTCTTTCTCATCTCAGTGTGTGGTCTGCAGGATGACCAAGGCTCCAGGGAGGCAGGCTTGACCTAGCGCACAGAAAACTCTCATCTTCATAGCTGCCCGGGAAGCCTGCTACCTGGACAGGTGGTGAGCTCACTCTTATGTGGCACGGGAGAGTTAGTCATTGACTGGCCTGATTCTGTGAGCCAGAACTGTGATTCTCAATCTTTTCTTCACCCAACAACGTAGCATGTGATATTCATATATATGGCAAAGTTAACAGGTGAGCCTACATTTGGATACAGTAGAGGTCAAACTCTACCTCTTTTTTTCCTAGTTGAAATATGCACAACTAAAGAAGTTAATAATTGTGTTTCTTAAGTTGTTGTTAGTCGTCAATTATTTATAGCATACCTGATAGCCCTTTTTGGCCCCTAAGTTGCTTTTCTCATTGGTGGGACAAAATTCTCAAATCCCATAAAGGAGGAAAGGTTAATTTTACCTCACAGTTTGTAGAGCTTTCAGTCCACGATGAGCTGGCTCTGAAGCAGGGTGGCACAGCAGAGGGGGATGGCGGAGTAGAAACAGTTCATGGCATGGCAGGCAGAAGGCAGCAAGAGGCAGCAGAAGCAGACTTCCCTTTCCCTTTTATCCCATCCAGGCTATAAACCATTGGGTGGTACCACCACACCTCGTATGGTCCTTACCATTACCCACATCAAGAACTATGCTAATTCCAGTCAGTGGATTGATTTAGTAGCACACAGCCTTAATCCTAGTGTCACACCCCCTAGATCCACCAGCTCTGAAAAGCTGTACCACCTATGAGCTCATGAGGCTTTAGGGAGACATATGGGTATAAACCGTAACAGCCTCTAGTTCAAAACTGCTGTTCCAAAACATTATTGTTGTTCTTATCATCTGCCAAGTTTTGCTTTATTGTGGTAAAATGCACTGTTTTAACTCTTTTTATGTGTACAGTGCTATATACTATATTCAGATTGTATTTAATGCCATCATAATAACCACCAGAACTTTTTCATCTCTCCAACTGAAAATTTTTTTTAAAATTTATTTTTATTTACATTCCTTGTATGGAGTTGAAAAATGTTCATCAAACATCTTTTTCATCTCTCCCCATCTCTTGATCCCCTTCCCTACTTCCTATTATCTTTCATTTTTATCTTTATTGGTATTTTGAGTTTCTCATATAAGAAAAATTTTGTGATAGTTCAACCAGTGTGTCTGTTTGATTTCATTTGATATTATGATCTTAAAGTGCAACCATTTTCTTACGAAAGTCTTGTTTACCTTTATGGCAGAGTAGTACTCCACTGTGTGTGAATACTGCATTTTCTTTAGCCATTCATCTGTTGATGGACATGTAGTTGCTTTGAAGACTTAACTATTATGAATTGTGCTTCTATAGGGATGAGTACACATATATTAATGCAATATGATATCTTTAACTTTTGGAGGAAGATATCTAGAAGGGGAATAGCTGGGTTAAATGGAATTCTAGTTTTAGTTTTTTTGAGAACTCCCCATACTGATTTCCATAGTTTACATTTCCAACAGCTATGTAGAAGGATTCCTTTTTCTCCTTAAGCGTGTGAGCATTTATTATTATTTGATTTCTTGATGATGGCTATTCTTGAGACTGGGTGGAGTTTCATTGTTGTTTTCATTTGCATTTCCCTAATGCCCAGTGATGTTAAACATTTCTTCAGGTGTTTGTTAGCCATTTGTTCTTCTTCTGTGAAGTTTGTATTCATTTCCCCTGCCTACATTTTCATTGGGTCTTTTATTTTCTGGGAAGTATAACTTTCTTTAGTTCTTTGTATATTCTAGATATAAGTCCTCTGTCTGAGGAATAGCTGGCTAGTTTTTTTCTCCCCATTTTGTAGGTTATCATTTCATTCTGTTGGTTGCTCTTTTGTTGTGCAGATGCTTTTTAATTTGATATGATCTGATTTGTTGATTATTGGTACTATTTCTTATGCAACTGGTATTCTGTTCAGAAGGTTCTTACATCTCTAACTTCAAGAGTTTTACTTATTTTATCTTCCAGTAGGTTGAGTGTTTCTATTTATGATTTAATTGTTTGACTCATTTTGATTTTAGTTTGGCATATAGTAAGATATATGGGTCTAGACTCAGTCTTCTGCATGTGGATAGCCAGTTTTCCCAACACTTTTATTAAAAAGTCTGTCTTTCTTCCAGTGTACGTTTTTGGCCCTTTTGTCAAAGATCAAATAGTTTATATAATTTTGTAGTAAGTTTTGAAATTGGTTATTCTGAGCCCTCCAAATATTGTTCTTATATTTCAAGACTTTTTTGGTTATTTTCAGAGGTCCTTGAGATTTTGCGTCAATTTTAGGGTAAATTTTTCTGTTTCTGTAAAGAGTGTCATTGAGATTTTGCTAAAGCTTGTTTTGAATCTATAGATTCCTTTGGGTTATATTAGCAGTATATTTGGGACATCTTAGCAGTATAAAATCTTTTAATTCATGAACCGGGGATATATTTTTATCTTACTTGAAATATCTTTTTAGCAACAGTTTTAGTTTTCAGGATAGCTGTCATTTTCGATTAAGTTCATTTGTTTTCTTGATTTCCTTTTCAGATTATCATATATATATATATATATAACTTGTTTAATATATGTATGATTTTGACGTGTTGCTTCTGTTTCCTGTAATGTTACTAATTTTGTTTATTAATTATAATTACTTTTAAAAAGTGAGGTATTATAGAGTTTTTTTTTTTACAAAAAATAGCATACATACAGCCAGTAAAATGGTATAGAGAAATGACTGAGGACAGTTGCTGGGGTGTCTGTTTGGTGTACAAAGACCAGGGTAGGAAAGTTATTTTTATTTCTAGGACCTCATCCAAATGAAGCATATTTAATCTGTGAGACCTCTATGCACTTAGCATGTGTTATAGAAGTGTATGTTTTAATTCTTCTTTAAGAAAGTCTTAATCCTTTTCACCAAAGCTTAGGATATTCCTGATAAGGCCAGGCTTACACACATGACTAAGATAAGAAGCTAGTACTAATCAGGAGATAGAGTTTGAGGGATTTAGTGTGAGGTGGGGGAAGCTGTGGGCTTCTCAGAGAGGATTCTGGAGGAGAGCAGCTTCAGGCAGAGCGAGACACTATGATTATAAACTGCCATCCAAGGTTTTCAGATTAATTTCTTTACTAGTTCAAGGCATTTTAAATCTTTCATTTCTAGAATGAACTTTTTTCTTTTTCTTTTTTGTTTTTATCAGTACCAGGGATTGAACTCACGACCGCACACTTGCAAGGCAGGAGCTTAATGCCGCTGAGCTAAATCCCCAGCTGAATGAACATTTTTTTTTTTTTTTTGGTCTTTTTTCTTTTTATCGGTACCAGGGATCGAACTCACGACTGCCTGCTTGCAAGGCAGGCGCTTATGCCGCTGAGCTAAATCCCCAGCCCCCTTGAACATTTTTTTTTTAAGGAGTCTCAGATTATATATGTATGTATGTATGTATGTATTTTAAGTTTTTGAGACAGAGTTCACTATGTAGTTCAGGCTGGCCTTGAACTCACTGTGTAGTCCACGCTGCCTCAAACTCATGGCCATCCTCCTGTCTCACCCTCTGGAGTACTGGGATTATAGGTGTGTACCACCAGATACAGCCTCTTGGATAATTTTAAAAATGAATGGGACTTACTTCAAAGAAATGGAGCTTTTAGGCATGATATATTGTGCTTTTAAAACCAGAAGCCTGCTACGTATGTTTATGTGTTCTTTGCAATATGGTAAAATATTTTCTTTTTCAGACATGAATGAGCACAGCTCTAGAAGTCATAGCATCTTCCTGATTAATATTAAACAAGAGAATGTTGAGACTGAAAAAAAACTCAGTGGGAAGCTTTATTTGGTTGATTTGGCTGGTAGCGAAAAGGTAATTGGCTCTTTGTTTTATGTATAATTTCCCCCCATTATTTGATTCACTGTGCAGTGGTATAATTTTTGTGCTTTCCTATTCCCTGGTTTTAAAGGTTCCTAATGTTGAGCTAAGATGTTATTAAATTTAACTTTTGTTTTCTCACTCTTTTATGGCCCTGAAGTTCCCTTATTAGCATCACAAGCAGGAGCTTCAGATGCTCACTCTGATTTATGCCTGGGAGGACCTGGTGACCACACCACACAAGTATTGGTCAGAACTTGGCTTAGCAAAGGTAGCTGTGGGTGGGGCATGATTTTCTGAGGACACAAAGTCACCTGTGTTATTACCACAGTAACATGGGTCGGGGAAGGGCTCTGGCATCTGAAGGTGGCAGGTCCACCTCTGCAGGTTTGTTTGCCAAGAGAAGATCTAGGACCTGAGGCTCTCCCTGTGTTCCCTGGTTCTTTGGCAGTGACCCTGGACTGCCAGTATCTTGCACTGGTGGGCTTGGTACCATTAGGCTGTAAGGCTGTGATCAGTCTTTAGCCACAAGCAGTGACCATTCTCTGGATTTGTTAAGACCTTCTTTTGGCATGTCTTCAGTTCCTTGCCCTGCTAGGCACTTGCTGAAATCACACTCCAGGTCCTCCAGCCTGCCCTCCAGGTTCCCTCCACAGCATGATGGAGGCTCCTGCTGCTACACCCCAGCCAGGGCACTGGACCCCTCAGGCAGCATCACAGAGCTGATCCCTATGCACCTTTCCTCCATCATCACTGACATCACTAGTTGTTGCCAATTGTGCAAGCCTTGTAGCTCAGTCAGTTCCTTCACAATGCAGTCAATTCCTACTGACTGTTCCATCCCCCGACTTCTCACCAAGCTATGGACTCCAACATTCCTGTAAGTAATGGTTACTATGCCTCCTCATTTACATTTATAAAACCATGAGCGGAGAACCATCTGGATTATCCTGGTTGGAATTCTAAAATTTTATTGGCAAAGGCTGGTAACTAGTTATACAGATACTCACCAGGTTGGACATAAAGGAGCAGCACTGATTAGTTCTGGACTGACCATCTGATGGTCATCTCCTTTACCACTGTGCCACATGTGGGTCCATATGAAGAGATTAGCGGTGCCTTCACTCTTGCTGAGCACAGAGATGAAAAATTTTTTCCTAGCACTCAAGGTTGAACCCAGGGCCTTTGCCCTGAACTACATCCCCTGCCATGCTGCTTTTTCTTCTTCTTTTTTAAAAAAATTATTATTATTATTTTGAGACAGGCTCTTACTAAGTTGCCCAGGCTAGGCTTACACTTGAATCCTCCTTCATCAGCCTCCCAGAGTGCTGTGCCACCATACCTGACTTCAGAGATGGATATTTAGGGCCTAAATACACTTGAAAACTACTTACTGGTAGATCAGAGTGGAAACCTGTCTCTGTACCATGTTGGTGATTATTGCTAGCAGTTTTATGAGGTGCCTTAAAGTGTCCTCCTCATAGTTTCTTTTGTCCCTGCCTGTTTTTGTTTGCCTTAGATGTGTCCACATGAATGCATCTGTGTGATTTCATAGAACAGAACTCTGAGCTTTCATTGTTTCTGTATCTCCTAAATGACATTCTTCCCTACACAGGCAGTTTGATGTCTCTGGAGCTCACTTTCCTTGTCTTTAAAAGGAAGGTAATAGTGCCTGCCTTGTGTACTTCATGGAGTTAAGATACTCAAATACAAAAAATCTTTAAAACCATGGTGAGATTAGACTGTAACTGTTTGTAACCCATTAGCTACGTGATTTCTCTATCTGTAAGCAGGGGTTCCCGTACACACAATTCCAACAGATGAGAACCTGTCCTATTTGAGAAAACCTCCCCCGAGACAAGCATTCACCTCTGTTGTCAGAGGTTTCTCCTTTATACAGAATTGAAATCCATCTTTGTGCAGCTTAAAAATGATTTTTCCTTTTTTTTTTTTCTTCAGAGAGCAGCTGCTCACCCCGCATCATTTGTCCAGACAGCAGAGACATGAATCATGTTGAGTTTCTTTTTTTCCTTTTTCCAGCGTCTGTAAACTGCTCTCTTCCTAGAGCAAATGCTATAAATATGAAATTACCAGTAATAACACAGCAGAGGAGGCACTGTGCATGGGCCCTCTGGCAGTAGAGGAAAAAAGGCAAATTTATAGTGTAAGACACACTTTCTTGACTTTTCATGCTTCTTTGGGTTTTACTTTTTTCTTTTTTAAAAAATGGATATAGAAATTAGCAGGGAAGGAACAGAGTCTGGACTACCACTCCTACCACTTCTTGTCCTCTGCCTGAATTTGGAATTTTTATTTTCCGTTTTGTGCATTGTTCCATTCACTGTGGCTCAGGACAGCATATTCGCTTAACACTTCCCTCCGGGCTCCCTCTTGTGTAGAGACTGTAGTTGAGTCTCCCAGGACCCAAGCGTAGCCGTGATGACAGCACTTCCAGAGCCTGGTTTCTCTGGATGGATGTCCCCTGGGGAAGCATCTGCAGCTCTCCCACTTGAGGCATTTGAGCCATTCCACTAAAACCTAATTGAGAGGAAAATGACAGCAGAAGAGACCAAATCCCCAGTCGCATGCTCCAGGATTGGTTTTACCAGTGTGGTTCTTACTTTTCCTTTTTCTTGCTTTCTAGTGAGATTTTCTCCTTTGTCCTCGTGTAAATTTGAACTTTCTACTTTGCTCTCTTCCTGTACGGTGCAGCTCACTGCTTTGTCTTCTCCTGGTAGGTCAGCAAAACTGGTGCCGAGGGAGCTGTTCTTGATGAAGCTAAAAATATCAATAAATCTTTGTCTGCTCTTGGAAATGTGATCTCTGCCTTGGCAGAAGGGACAGTAAGTGATCCCCTCCCCATCTATTAAATAATATTTTGAACAGTTGCCTTTTGGGTTTGCAAGTTCTCTTTGTCACATACTCTAGAGATTCATTCATTTTTCTGTTTGGAGAACAGAAGGAATCCTGGCTGTGGATACCTGTTGCTGGGAGCTCCAGTCCACCAAAAAGTGTGAATAGTGATGCTGATTTCCTGTGGGCATTTTAAACTTTGGCCAGATCCAAAGACCTGGCCACAAATTCTTTTTTTTTTTTTTTTTTTTTTGTCTTTTTGACAGGGTTCTCACTATGCAGTTCAGGCTGGCTTTGAGCTCACTTTGTAGCCCAGGCTGGTCTTGAACTCGCAAAGATCCTTCTGCCTCAGTCTCTCTAGTGCTGGGACTACAGGCATGAGCCACCACACCTGACTTTGGCCACAAATTCTTATTTTGCACATATTTCTAAGCCCAGTGTCTCCCTCCCTTACTAGCTTACTTCTGTATTTTTCCTTTTAATGGGCCATCAAAACCAATGCCTTTTCTTTTCCCAAATAGAAAACACATGTGCCATACCGGGACAGCAAGATGACTCGGATCCTCCAGGACTCTCTGGGTGGGAACTGTAGAACCACCATTGTCATTTGCTGCTCTCCTTCTGTCTTCAATGAGGCTGAGACCAAGTCCACGCTCATGTTTGGACAGAGGTGCGTGTGGTCTCTTGGGATCTAGACGCTGAGTTGACTCTGAGGTCTTAGGTGTGAGTGGAGGCGGCCGGTGTCAGAAGCTAATCAAATGAGGTTGTGAGTAGTTGCTGAACTGCCTCTAGCAAATGATCTGTGAACTTGGGAAATCATCTGGTATTTTTTGAAGCCAAAAGAATAATTATGGCTTTAAATAATAGGGAGAATAATCTAAAGATATGATGTTAAAAGAATGTTTATGATGTTTAAAACAAAATAAAACACCCAAACTTTCTGTAGATGCCACTCGATCATGGAGCCGAGTGTTTTTCATGGAAGAAAAGTCTAATGTGTAGGCTCATATAATTTCCAGTGTGTAAGTCTTGAATGGCTTAAACTAGAATATTCTCCAAAAGCCTTATATATTTGGAATGATCGAAGCATCATAGCTAAATGTACTGTTAGGATTTGGGCCCAGCGGGAGAGGTGAGTTTCCATGGGGATGACCTGGAAGAATGTATCTCTCTATCCTTCTTTGCTTCTTGGCTGCCACAGTGTAAGTGTATTTCTTGTGCTGTGCCCCTCTGTCATGCTTTTTTAGGCCTTGGAGCCAGCCAAGTGTGCACAGTAATGTGAGCTAAAATAAGTCTCTCCGCCTTTGTGTTGGGTCCATTATTTTGTCCTAGTGACAAGGAAAGTGACTAAGACGTTTCAAGATTAATAACCACCTTTCACCGACACATTTGGGATCTTTTCAGAGTTGCTCATAAAACAATCAGGTACTTGGATGCATGTAGAGTAGTGGCATAAACAAAAAAGGAAAGGGAGAGGCTCTGTGCTTACCCTGAGGCAGGAGGTACAGATGTATGCTGAGGGAAGAGGCTTAAGGCAGCTGTCTTCCCACCTTCCAAAATGCTCAGATGTGACAAGCGTGGTTTCTATGGTATTGACAGGTTGGCAGCGGGAACATCCGTAATCCCCCAGCAATCATTATGGGTATGGCTTGGTTCTTACTATCCTTTTTTTTTTCTTGCCTTTTCCTTTTTCACCTGCTTCCTCTCATTGCCCAAGGCTGACCTCCTTCAGTCATATTTCCTCACCCAGTCCTCTCAGCCATGGAGTTCTCAAGGTTCATTAGTTCCCCAAGAGCTTGGAGTGGTGTGGAGTGAGCTGCGCATGTGCAGCCCACAGTGGGCTGATCCTGGAGCTGAGGTTGGAGATTTTGCTGCCATCGTTCCGTCTGATGGAATAGTCCTGTGGTCTATATATAAGTTACCAGTTCTCTGTGGACCTTAGTGGCTTCATTTGTAAATGAATGTCATGAGCATTTTTCTGCCTTGCTTCTGGGAGTGGTTATTCCTGAGAAATAGTCTCAGAGGCCTAGAGAAAGGACACTTTGGGTGGGCATGGTACATCGGAAATTGTTATGACTTGTTTAAACTGCACGAAACCTGTCATTTCCTGACCCTTCAACAGAACATAGAATTATGCAGTCATAGCACGGGTGGGATGTCTAAATAAATACTAATTATGCTGAGATGTTGTAGAACTAATATATCTTTTAAACTGCATTTGTGTCCTCTACTTCTTCCCAGTTAGTTCTTTGATTTGACAAATGCTTTACCAGTGGGTTTGCAATGGTATAATACCTACTTTCCTCGAGACTCCTAGGATATCTCTCCACTAGCATGTGCTTTTGGTAAATACAGAAGACATCCTGTTCCTGCCCCCTTTCCCTCTCAGTGCCTTAAACTTGAGCTTTAGCAGTTGGCTCTAGAGACGGGTTTGAGTAAACCACCTCCAACTGCATTTATAAATGAAATATCTCTTAAAAACTTCTTACCTGGAAAGTAAACATATTCTGGACCTTTTTAAGCCTAGGTTATTCTGGGCTGACATCAGGTAGCTGCTGGTAGTGAGCATTAGCTGCTGTCCACAGAAACAAATTAGGTATCAGTTCAAGTGATTATTCTCTTTCTCCTGATCTTAGGCCTTCATCAGCATCTTCATTATCATTCACACATTTTAAGTACCAAATATGTGGTGTTAGACTTGTCCAAATTCCCCTTAGCAATTCTGACTGGTAAGGATTATTTCACTTTGAACAGAGGGTGAAATTGAGAGTTAAACTGAAAGGCATTACATAGCATAGCTGAGACCACACAGTTTAGTAAATGAGTGAAGATGCAGAATATTCTAGGATATGGCCTATACAACACTATCTGGAACTTCTCACATGAGAGCTGCTTGAGCAGGAATCTTTATATTGGCCTGTTTTGCATTGTTATAGCGAAAACTCAAGGTTAGATACTATCTATACAAGAGAGGTTTATTTACACTAACAGTTATGGAGATTCAAGGGTATGGTATTGGCATCATTGTGGCTCTGGCGAGGACTTCGTGACAGCATCACAGTGGCAGTAATTTGTGTGAAAAGGGGAAACTACATGATGAAACATGAAGCCAGAGGCTGGAAAGATGCCAGGCTTTCTCTTTTATAACAATTCTGTTATGAGAATTTACCGTGGTTTTGTGGAAACTACCATAATCCTGAAGGCAGCATTATCAGTAACCCAGTTACTTTGTGCTAGGCTCCATTTCTTAAAAGGTTTCATCACATTTCAGCATTAGCAGATTAAGGACCATGCTCCCAATGAAGGCAACTTTGGAGTATACAAACCATAGCCCAACCATAGCAGTCTGGATGAGCACACTGCAGTGGCTGGGCATAGCCCTTGGGTTCAGCACACCCAGTTATAAAGCTAAGATCTGCCACTGACCCGTGCTCTTGTTTACTTGTGTCTGAATCTTCTGTCTTTTAGCCTTAGAATGAGATGTAATGCCTACTTCTTAGAGTGTTTAGAGGAGTGTATGAGTAGCTTCAGTTTTCACTTAGCAAAGGGCCAGCATGTAATAGGTTATTGACAATTGCAAGTGAAGCAATCTGACAGTATTGACATTTGGGAAGGTCATGGTAATAGATGAGATTAGATTGGATATAAAGTACTATAGGGGACAGCACTGTAATTAAGAGACAGGATTGAATACTGATAATAGAGGATTCTAGGAAATAAAAAGGAATGTCAATTATGGTTCCAAATGAAACAGGTTTATCAGTGTCATCTGGATTCTGAGCTGTATGACAGCAAGGAATGAGTTTGTCATTGGCATCCATTTCCACTCAACATTTAGCACAATTAGGGCACAGTAAGAGATCAGCAAATAAATGCTTATGGAATAAATGAACAGATGAACTTCAAGTTTGTTGTGGGATTCCTTGATGAACTGTTACACCGTTATATGGTAGTTATGCCCAAGGCTGAGTTAGGTTTGGATTGGGTTTGCTTTTCAGTATATACTTAGACATGTGTGAGGCTGTGTTCCCTTTATGCTCTCCTCAAGTTAGTTAATTGATTCTTTATGGACACTGAACTTCTCTATGGGGCCTATATCTGCTTTACTGTTAAGTGTCCTCATTGAACCCAGTTGTATAGCAAACATGAATTAGAACTTTGGATTAGGCATGGTATTCAAAAGCAAATGAGGGTAAGCACTTTGAACTCAAAAAAAAAAGGCTGCTTGGTGCATCTCAAATTTGGCATAATGAGTATGAATTAGATTTGTGTTGAGGAGGTGGCTAGATCTTAGGACAGTGTGAGGGTCCTCAGTCATTCCTGTGGGCTCTTTCATGGACATGACAAATGTGCACGTTTGTGGCTGGCTGGCTTGGATTGATGCTCTGAATAAAACAGAGTAATGTAGCCTCTGAAACAAGAGAAACATGGCAGAGTCTGAAGATATCTGAGGGTACCTTCCTGGTCTCAGCCAGCCTGCCTCAGCCTTCCTCAGAATTCCAGTAGACAAATGTAGCGGGAGAAACCCACCATGTTTGTGTCAGGTGTCGCTGATGAATCCTTGCTCTTCTTTTCAGATCTTTTAGTTTCCTCAGTGTCCTACCCTGTGCTATTGAACAGGCAAATGCTGCCACAGTTTCAAGCAAACTGAGAGGCAGCACTTGAAACCTCAAGCAGCCAAGAGTCAAAAAGACAGACTCAAATTAGAGCACTTCCATTGACTTTTATTTTCTGGCCTCTAGCATTTTGTTCTTTAGTCTTTATTTACTCTTCCAAAGTACTTGCATAGCACTATTGGAAAAAAGATATTTATGAGTTTTAGGAATGTGGATTCAGATCACCCAATTATCTTGGAAACCTAGTTAATGTGCCTTGATTTGGGTTGTTGATGGAGGGAAGGGAGCCCCAAGGGCCAGGCTGATCAGTTCAGAAGGTCTGGCTCAGCAGGTCCTTGCACCAATAGTTTTGATTGATCCAACATGAATAATTCAATGGCTTTATTTATATGTTGAATGTGGAATGAGAATTGATAAGCAAAATAGTATTCCTTCTTCTTTTCCTGATGTGTTTGAAAAAGATCACGCTGTCATTTTAATCATGCCACCTATCATTTTTGTGGCAGCTGAATTCAGCAGTCTGAATAGAGCACATGCTAAGCTTATGCCATCAGAGCCTGAGAAGAAGTTACTTGCAGAGGTGAAGCAAGCGCTTTTGGCCAAGGCACATACTTGAATATTCTTGTAACAGAAATCCAGAAAAGACTTAAGTTGCTCCCCTTGAAAGGCTTGTTTCTGGGACCCTAGTAGGGTTAGATTTTTGCTCCTGTAGCAAGAGAGAGCGTGAGTGACATAAATTTAACTATATGCTGGCTCCTCATCTAAGTCATAAAAATTTTAATTTCTCCTTCCTGGTCATCTTTCTCACAAGCAGGGAACTGCCTTCCCCACGCATTGCCAAGGAAGCCAGCTTTGGAGGTATAGCTGTTTATATAGGAACTGAGACTCAGATGATGGATGTTAGTGTTAGTGTCAGCCTCCTTAGGCTCTAGGACCAATTAATTAATCAAACAGTAATCTTGCTGTGGCTGTGAAAGTATTTTGCAGATGTGGTTAACATATACAATCAGTCAACCTTAAATAGATTACTGTGGAGGGCAAGAGTGGCCTTTAC